CACGAAATGGACGTTGGACGTCAAAAACTGAGGAAAAATGGTGATTTTGAGGTGTCACGGGCAACCCTTTCGCACGAAATGGACGTTGGACGTCAAAAACTTCGGTAAAATTGCGATTTAACTTGTCCCCTCGCAACCCTTTCGCACGAAATGGACGTTGGACGCCAAAAACTGAGGAAAAATTGTGATTTAACTTGTCCCCTCGCAACCCTTTCGCACGAAATGGACGTTGGACGTCAAAAACTGAGGAAAAATTGCGATGTTAGTTCGTCAAATGCAACCGTTTCGCACGAAATGGACGTTGGACGTCGAAAACTGAGGTAAAATTGCGATTTCACGGGTCAGGTTCTGTGTGTAAAGGAGTCTGTGTGTAAAAGGGTCTGTATGTAAAAGCGTCTGTGTGTAAAAGCGTCTGTGTGTAAAGCGTCTGTGTGTAAAAGTGTCTGTGTGTAAAGGAGCCTGTGTGTAAAAGCTTCTGTGTGTAAAAGCTTCTGTGTGTAAAAGCTTCTGTGTGTGTGAAAGCGTCTGTGTGTAAAAGCTTCTGTGTGTAAAAGCTTCTGTGTGTAAAAGCGTCTGTGTGTAAAAAGCTTGCTGTGTGTAAAAAAGCTTCAGTGTGTAAAAGTGTCTGTGTGTTAAATAGTCTGTGTGTAAAAGCTCCTGTGTGTAAAAGCTTCTGTGTGTAAAGGAGTCTGTGTGTAAAAGCGTTTGTGTGTAAAATGGTCTGTGTGTAAAGGTGTCTGTGTGTAAAAGCTTCTGTGTGCAAAAGCGTCTGTGTGCAGAAGCGTCTGTGTGTAAAAGCTTCTGTGTGTAAAAGCTTCTGTGTGTAAAAGCGTCTGTGTGTAAAAGCTTCTGTGTGTGAAAGTGACTGTGTGTAAAAGCTTCTGTGTTTAAAAGCTTCTGTGTGTAAAAGTGTCTGTGTGTAAAATGGTCTGTGTGTAAAAGTGTCTGTGTGTAAAAGCGTCTGTGTGTAAAGGAGTCTGTGTGGTTTAAAAGCTTCTGTGTTTAAAGCTGCTGTCGTGTAAAAGCTTCTGTGTTTAAAATCTTCTGTGTTTAAAGCTTCTGTGTGTACAATGTTTGTGGTGTAAATGGTCTGTGTTAAAGTGGTCCGTGTGTAAAGCCCGGCCTGTGTGCAAAAGTTTCTGTGTGTAAAAGTCGTCTGTGTGTGTGTAAAAGTGTCTTGGTGAAAAGCTTCTGTGTGTAAAAGTGTCTTGTGTGTCAAATCGTCTGCTGTGTAAAAGTGTGCCTGTGGTGTAAAGCTTCTGTGTGTACAAGCGTCTGTGTGTAAAACCTTCTGTGGTGTAAAGCGTCTGTGTGTAAAATCTTCTGTGTTAAAGCTTCTGTGTGTAAGTTTCTGTGTGGTACAACGTCTGTGTGTAAAAGCGTCTGTGTGTAAAGGAGTCTGTGTGTAAAAGCTTCTGTGTGTAAAAGCTTCTGTGTTTAAAGCTTCTGTGTGTAAAAGTGTCTCTGTGTAAAATGGTCTGTGTGTAAGTTGTCCGTGACGTTGGTTAAAAGCGTCTGTGTGTCAAAGCGTCGGTGTGTGAAGTGGACTGTTTGTAAAAGCTTCTTCTGTGTTTAAAAGCTTCTGTGTGGTAAGTGTCTGTGTGTAGGAGTTGTGTGGTAAAAGCTTCTTGTTGTACACAGCTTCTATCGGTGTGTAAAAGCGTCTTTGTGTAAAGCTTCCTGTGTGGAAAAAAGCGCGGTGTGTGTGTATAAAGAGTCTGTGTGTAAAAGGCTTCTGTGTGTTAAAAGGCCTGTGTGTAAAATTATGTCTTGTGTCAAAGTGTCTGTGGTGTAAAAGGCTTCTGTGTGATTAAAAGCTTCTGTGTGTAAAAGTGTCTGTGTGTAAACGCGTCTGTGTGTAAAAGCGTCTGTGTTTAAAAGCTTCTGTGTGAAAAAGTGTCTGTGTCTAAAATGGTCTGTGTGTAAAAGTGTCTGTGTGTAAAAGCGTCTGCGTGTAAACGCGTCTGTGTGTAAAAGCGTCTGTGTGTAAAAAGCTTGCTGTGTGTAAAAGCGTCTGTGTGTAAAAGCTTCTGTGTGTAAAAGCTTCTGTGTGTAAAAGCTTCTGTGTTTAAAAGCATCTGTGTGTAAAAGCGCTTGTGTGTAAAATGGTCTGTGTGTAAAAGTGTCTGTGTGTGAAAGCGTCTGTGTGTAAAGGAGTCTGTGTGTAAAAGCGTCTGTGTGTAAAGGAGTCTGTGTGTAAAGGAGTCTGTGTGTAAAAGCTTCTGTGTGTAAAAGCTTCTGTGTTTAAAAGCTTCTGTGTGTAAAAGTGTCTGTGTGTAAAATGGCCTGTGTGTAAAAGTGTCCGTGTGTAAAAGCGTCTGTGTGTAAATCTTTCTGTGCGTCTAAACGCGTCTGTGTGTAAAAGTGTCTGTGTGTAAAAGCTGCTGTGTGTAAAGCTGCTGTGTGTAAAAGTGTCTGTGTGTAAAAGCATCTGTGTGTAAAAGTGTCTCTGTATAAAAGCGTCGCGTTTCTTCACATCCGAGCTCGAGCTCTCTCTCTCTCTCTCTCGCTCTCCTTCTCTCTGTCACCCTCTCCCTCTTTCTCTCTCTCTCCCTCTCTCTCTCACCCTCTCCCTCTTTCTCTCTCTCACCCTCTCCCTCTCCCTCTCCCTCTTTCTCTTTCTCTCTCTCACCCTCTCCCTCTTTCTCTCTCTCTCTCTCTCTCTCTCTCTCCCTCGCTCTCTCTCTCTCTCTATCTATGTCTCTCTGTGGTTGCAAGACACGTGTCATCTGATGCCCTTTACCAAATATCCTCTTCTTAATCAATCTTACTTTTCACACCTTATCCCTCCATAGCTCATTTAAAATTCACCAACCATTCACCGACTATCTTTTATGACTACCATCCTCAGAGCTGCTTGAAAAACATCTTTTTCGCTCTCGGGCCAACCGTCGTCTAGTTTTCGCTTTGGCGTCGAGATCCAGTTTTGGAGCTGCAATTCCTATTGTCATTATGTACAAGAAAGCTTCCTCTGTGTAAAAACGTTTTTCTGCAAAAAACTTGCTGTGTGTAGAAGATTTTGTGTGTAAAAGCTTGCTGTGTGTAAAAAAGCTTCTCTGTGTGTGTGAGAGCTTCTGTGTGTAAAGGTGTCTGTGTGTAAAAGCTTCTGTGTGTAAAAGCGTCTGTGTGCAGAAGCGTCTGTGTGTAAAAGCTTCTGTGTGTAAAAGCTTGCTGTGTGTAAAAAAGCTTCTCTGTGTGTAAAAGCTTCTGTGTGTGTGTAAACGCTTGCCATGTGTAAAAGCAATCTGTGTAAAAGTGTTCTGTGTAAACACTTGCTGTGTGTAAAAGCTTGCTGTGTGTAGAAGCTTCTCTGTGTAAAAGCTTGCTGTGTGTAAAAGCTTCTCTGCCAAAGAACTTGCTGTGTGTAAAAGCTTTCTGTGTGCAAGCTTTGTAGTACAAAGTAGTACTGGGACGTACGTTGTGCAGGGTTTGTAGTACAAACTGTAGTACTGGGACGTACTTGCGCAAGCTTCGTACAAAGTAGTACTGGAACGCGCTTTGTGTAAGCTTTGTAGTACAAAGTAGTACTGGGAAGTGCTTTGTGCAAGCTTTGTAGTACAAAGTGGTACTGGGTGCAAGCTTTGTAGTACAAAGTAGTACTGGAACGTGCTTTGTGCAAGCTTTGTCGTGCAAAGTAGTATTGGGAAGTGCTTTGTGCAAGCTTTGTAGTACGAAGTAGTACTCGGTGCAAGCTTTGTAGTACAAAGTATTACTTTGTGCAAGCTTTGTAGTACAAAGTAGTACTGGGACGTGCTTCGTGCAAGCTTTGTAGTGCAAAGTAGTACTGGGAAGTGCTTTGTGCAAGCTTTGTAGTACAAAGTAGTACTGGGACGTACTTTTTGCAAGCTTTGTAGTACAAGTAATACTGGAACGTGCTTTGTGCAAGCTTTGTTGTACAAAGTAGTACAGGGAAGTGGTTTGTGCAAGCTCTGTAGTGCAAAGTAGTTTTGCGAAGTGCTCTGTCCAAGCTTTGTAGTACAAAGTAGTACTGGGACGTGCTTCGTGCAAGCTTTGTAGTACAAAGTAGTACTGGGTGCAAACTTTGGAGTACAAAGTAGTATTGGGAAGTACTTTGAGCAATGCTTGTAGTACAACGTAGTACTGGGAAGTGCTTTGTGCAAGCTTTGTAGTACAAAGTAGTACTGGGAAGGACTTTGTGCAAGCTTTGCAGTACGAAGTAGTACTCGGTGCAAGCTTTGTAGTACAAAGTAGTACTGGGACGTGCTTTGTGCAAGCTTCGTAGTACAAAGTAGCACTGCGACGCGCTTTGTGCAAGCTTTGTAGTACAAAGTAGTGCTGGGAAGTACCCTGCGCAAGCTTTGTAGTACGAAGTAGTACTATGACGTGCAGAAGAGCCGAGATGAGTTGAGACTAGTTTCGGTGAGATGAGAAAGGTTGAGCTGCGCTCAGATGAGATGAAAATAGCCAAGAACAACTGAGCTGACATATGAGAAGACATGAAATGAGATGAGAAGAGCTCAGATGAGATGAGTTGAGATGAAGTGCAAATGTGAAGTGTGGAGTGTGAAGTGTGAAGAGTGCAGCGTGAAGTGTGAGGAAAGTGTTCGCTTGGTGTTGCATTGCACCAGGGTCGCGCGCAGGTCATGTTCTTGGACAACAACACTGCAACAGCTTCGCACAAAGCACTCGCGCGCGCTGGCCTGGCTGGTGCACGGCGCATGTAAGTTCTATAGATGAGAAAGGTCTTATAGTATATCCCTAAGGCAACTTCCGCCCCGCCTCGTGCGGTTACTAGTTGTAATTTAAATAATATATTCTTTTTTAAAACATAGTACATGTAAGATGGTAATGCATAATACTTGTAACGCGCTACTCTGGAGTTTTTGATTGTTGCCCCCCAGGTGGTATATTAATTAGATTTCACGCACAAGGGTGGATCTGGCGTGGCAAATCAGACGCGTGATGACATGTGATGACTTTAGACTCTTTAGACTGAACTTTTGAACCATTTTAGACCCATGATTCATGGGGATACCCAGGCCTGATTTGGCGCTCTCACAAGACCCAGGACCGTCCGACCAATTGCGACCCCTCAGTTCTCGATGTGAATATTGACATATTGTATTATTTTGTATCATTTTGTATATCATATACAGACGCACATCGGTTGTATCATATTGTACCATGCAATCCTCTTGGATCAATTTGTATATGGCATCTTCTTGTCTAAAGCAGCATGCACTGAACAAGATTACACTTGCTAGGTGCGAGTCTTTTTCGCAAACTGTCTCCACAGTGTGTATGAGTCCTCCTTCGGCACATTGCTGTACTGCAAGTAGCATGAAGAGGTAAGGGTCGCCCTCCACGACGTCCGACACATCCAGGACGGCTTGCGGCCAGTGATTTACTACTTGGAGTATTTGGTGAAAGACCGGGAGTCACCGTCACAGCAGTCACAATCACAACTCTCGCGGGCATTGGTCAGCTTCGTGAAGTTTAAGCATCCTCGCACGATCATGCACCCAATTCTGACGTTTGTCTTGGACCTGCTCTGGGAGAATTTGGTTTCTTGGCCAAACTTGGCCAAACTTGGCCAAACCTGGGCATCAAAAAGCGCCAGGAGGTGCCCTATGGCGCTCTATGGTGCCATTCGAGTACTGACTTCACCCTGGGACAGTTCCAAATCATCTCAAAGCTAATCAATCATATTCATAGAACAGTACGCGATCAGACTTGGAAGTGCCTGACTCCTTTCTGACAATGTTCTATCTTTTGCTTCCTTATTTCCTTGTTTGAATGATCTTGCAATATGCCGTGAATTGCAGTGATTACCCAGTGCTTCTTGCACCAAGGCAATGCGCACGTTCTTTCTTGACCGCTTGTGGACCATCATTAGCTTTATGATTTTCCTTTCAGCCAGTTGCTGCTTTGCTGCATTGCAGTGGCCATCGAATTCATTCGAATTCGTTTACTGAGTTGCGAGAAGTTACGAGAAGTTCAGGTTTCTTGAACCAACCTGCCATGATGCAGAAACCTGCGTGGCTTGGCTGAGAAAGTGAAGCTGAGTGAGACATGTGCACTTTGCATGTTGATGATCCATATTGTGCGCTCGGCGTTTCTTGTGAGTATCATTCCAGACTTCGTGAACTGAGGAACAAATATGGGCTCGCTGCTGCACGCCTTTTGGTCTATGTGGTGGGCCTTGGCCGACTACTCTACTGGCACACGATGCAATTTTACAGGTCGTCCATGAGCAATGAGACTTGAGATGACTTGAGTCAGACGTGGGGCATGTGGTGGAACATGGTGGAAGTGAGAGGTGTAAGGGCTTAGAGCACAGGCCACACGCCGGAAAGGATTCGTATGCAACCCCAACGGAACACTAACGGAATTCCAATATCTCAAATGGACCGTCAGTTGCTGCGTGATGCGGCGTATACCAGTAGTACCCGCACGAGGCTGTGCGGAAGTTGCCTTAGGGAATTATACTATAAGACCTTTTTCATCTGTAGAACTTGCATGCGCTGTGCGCCAGCCAGGCCCGTTCGCGCGTGTATTGTGAGAAAGTGGCGCGCTGTATCAAATGTCACATTGAAAACTCGACATTTCACACTTCATCCTCCACACTTCACACTACATTCTTCGCACTCCCCACACTCCGACCCTTCACACTTCATTTCATCTCATCTTATCTCATCTGAACTCTTCTCACCTTGTCTCAGCTCATCTCTTCTCACCTCATCTCTCCCTTTACGTCATCCAAGTTTTGCTCAACTATGCTCATCTCATCGAAGCTCTTCTTAACTTACTCAGCTCGTCTGTGCGTCAGAAAGCTTTTACTGTCAGGGAGAAGCTCTTATGAACACAGTAACCAAACGCCCTGCTTGCGTGATTTTTATACATGTCTTGCAAACAGTGACAGGGGCTTCTCATCCAAACACTGCCTATTATTTTTGACGAACATCTGCATGCGTTAGTTACATCATGCTGGCAGTTTTTGCTTCACGCCCAAGACAAGAAGCAGCTGCGGTCAGATCTTTCAAAAATGAAATCCAGCAATCGATACAGAAATGTCACCCATGTTCGTCAGCTGCCTTCAATGTTCACATTGTCTCGTTGCAAAGGCATACACAGAGAAGCTTTTACACTCACACAGAAGCTTTTACAGACTCAAAGCTGTGACACACAGAAGCTCTTACACAGAGAAGCTTTTACACACGGCAACCTTTTACACAGAGAAGCTTTCACGTACACAGCGGCAACAGAAATTTAATTGCCTTCGGCAAGCCCGCCGCTCATAGAGAGGTGGCCCCAAGAGAGTTTGATGTGCACTCTAGGTGGACGCCGGAGGGAGAAGCGGAAGAGAAGAAAAGAGAAGAGAAGAGAAGAGACGAGAAGAGAAGAGAGGAGAGGAGACGAGAAGAGAAGAAGAAGAAGAAGAAGAGGAAGAAGAACAAGAACAAGAAGAAGAAGAAGAAGAGACGAAAACAGAGCCGTAGAGCAGAAGCAGCTTGAGCAGCAAGCGCGTGCTTGAAAAACCTGCGGGCCGCATGTCAAATGGATGCCGGTCGATCAGTTTAGTACCGCGTGCGTCCTGTGTAGTGCTGTAGACTGCATCATGAGCTCCCCGGCACTACCAGTTTAGTACTTGGAGAAGAAGGAAGGAGTATAGGAGTAGGGGCAGGAGGGGGAGTAGTAGTAGTAGTAGTAGTAGTAATAGTATAAGTAGCCATAGCAGCAGCAGGAGGAGGACGAGGAGTAGGAGTAGGAGTAGGCGTAGGGGTAGGAGTAGGAGTAGGAGAAGTAGTAGAAGTAGTAGTACTAGTAGTAGTAGTAGTAGTAGTAGTAGTAGCAGTAGCAGTAGCAGTAGCAGTAGCAGTAGCAGTCGCAGTAGTAGTAGTAGTAGTAGTAGTAGTAGTGTACTTGTACTTGTACTATATAGTATTAAGATTAGTACTGATATAAGAACTAATATTAGTAATGCTACTAGTACTATTGCTCATACTAGTAGTACTTATACTAGTACCAATATAGCACCAATATGTACAAATACCAGTACCAATATTAGTCGAAGGAAGTTTAGAAGTGAAACTTCCGACAATATGGACAGTTGAAAAGCAGAGGTGAGAAGAGTCAGAAGAGAAAAGATCAGAAGAAAGAAGATGCAGATGCGCGAAAAGGTAGGAAAGTCGCGAAACACTGTGTTTTTCCAATGATTTGTGGCTCAGGAGGGTCGAAAAGTAGGCTCGCTAAAGCGGCGGGTGCGGAGCCAGCTGGCCACAGGAGCGATGAAAAATTGCACGCCGTTGTGGCGCGAAGCACATTTCCAAGTCAAAATGTACAAAACACCAGGGGTTCGGACCACTTTTGGAAGTTGAGATGTCGAAAAAGTGCACGCCGTTGTGGCGCGAAGCACATTTCGAAGTCAAAATGTACAAAACACCAGGGGTTCGGACCACTTTTGGAAGTTGCAATGTTGAAAAAGTGCACGCCGTTGTGGCGCGAAGCACATTTCCAAGTCAAAATGTACAAAGCACCTCAGCTTCGGACCACTTTTGGAAGTTGAGATGTCGAAAAAGTGCACGCCGTTGTGGCGCGAAGCACATGTCGAAGTCAAAATGTACAAAACACACCA